GACTGACTCTGCCTACAGAGATTTTGAGATTGGAAAACAAAGGAGCAGCGGTGCAGACCTGGCCCCCTCTGCATCAGGGGTGCCAACCTTCAAATTCCTTGGTACCTTCATCTCCCTCAGCAGGGCCAAACATGTTTTCTGGCAAACGCTACAGACCGCTGAGACCAAGAACAAACAACACCAGCACCACAGTGACCCTCAAGACGCACCCAGGGACTCTGATCACAACCAAGAGCAATATTCTAATTACTGAAAAAAATCCACTGTGAAACACTTCATCAGTGATACTCCTTCGCCTAGCATGATTGCATTTTACATCATTACCTTATTCTATTAATTCACGCCCATTCATCTTAGAGATGTCACCTAAAGGAACAGTAAAGTATTTTTGTGCAGATATATTAATACTTTTAATCTAAGATTAATTTTGAAATTAATCTGGAATAGAAAAGTTATCCTGTTTAGAACTCGATTATATTACTTATTTAAAATTACAATAATAATAACATGTCAATAAATTCATATCAGATTCATGTTTTACTTTTTTAAAATATTAAACTTTATTAAGAAACAGTATACAGAACATGTATACAACCAGAAAAAAATTAACATATGCCAGGGGGTGTGATACAAAGAATTATAAACATTCAAATAATTTGTAATTACTATAAATAGTAATAGTTTTCATAGCTTTTTTGTTAAGTGATCCACTAATCAATTTTATGTAACATAAAACATCATTATAGTAATGTTTAAAATTAGGTTTTTTGTTACTGTATTTGCATTTGTGAAAATAAAATTTAGCTAAGATAACTAACAAGTTTATTATCGGATTCATGTTTACACGTCTCCAGTTACAACGCATGACGTCATCTGTAGACGCGGGACCCGAGCAGCAGTGACGTGTAAGTGTGCGACTGTGATCTTTTGTGCTGACTCCGAAGGAGCCTGCAGTTTATTGTGAAGCAGAAAATATCTGCGGACACCATGAATGGAGCGGATTATCTGCAGCAGCACAGCGCCGAGAGTCTGTCCTTCGAGGAGATGCAGCAGATTAACCCGCTCGGAGTCCATCAGCAGCAGAAAGACGAGGGCAGCCAAACCTCCGGTGAGAATAACAACAGATTTAATGTGGAGGAAACGGGCTAGCTGCTAACACCAGACAGGGATGGCCGTGTGTGGTTTTTTGGGTGTTTTTTTTCACATCATTAAATTAGTTCACATTATCCAGCTCGTAGGACACAAGTAACACCGGTGTGAGTTAAGGTTGGTTACGAGGAGGAGTGCAGCGATCCAATCTTTCCCAGTTTCCGATCTGCTTCAGGGTGGAGGGCTGATTATGCATCTACAGCTGTGGTCACAGGTTTACATCCACTCATCATGGTCACGAATGTCACTGTCATATGGAGTTTATCTGATCCTTTTGCAGTGTGGAATGATTGTATTTTTAATGCGTGGGGTTTTTTTGCCCCTCTTCATCCACACAGGGTCAAAATATACATACAGATTCAAATATAAACACAAAATTTTGGTTGGTTAAATGTCCCTTAACAAACTGCACTTCAGTTTTTTGTTGTTTTTGTATCCATCAACAAGCTTCTGGCATAATTCTGACTGAATATTTGACCACTCTTCCTGGCTCTTCCTCTTTTTGTTTTTAAATTGGTTCGTTTCTTGGCACCGATCAGCTCTTAAGTATAGAGCTCAAATAGGGTTGAGGTCGGAGCCACGTAAATCCAGATGTTTAATGCTAGCCTGCTTTATCCATTTCAAAACCAGTGATGTGTTTCGGATCGTTCTCCTTCGTGAACATCCAACCATGTCCAAGCTTGAACCATCAAGCTGTTGATCTGATGTGAAGTTGAGGGATTTGGAGGTAGTTTTCCTTCTTAATTATTCCATTCACGTTGTGTTATATACCAGTACCACTGGCAGGAAATGGGCCACAGCATGTTTGACAGTCAGTCTTAGGTTTGAATTCTTCAGCTTGACTCTTGTATTTGTGACCAAACAGCTCAATCTTTGTGTCGTCTGACCACAAACGTTTTCTCGAGAAGGCATTTGGCTTGTCCACGTGGGCAGCTGCAGATTTCAGTTGAGCTTGAAGGTTTTTATTTTGGAGCAGAGGCTCGGTACCCTGTAACCCTGGCTTCACTGTGGACAGTTGTGCTGGTGTTACAGTAGTTTCCAGTTCGTGGCAGGTATGAGCCTCGATGGTTCCTGGGCTGTTCCTGAACATCCTAACCATAGTCCTCCTTTCTGAGTCTGACAGTTCTTCAAGACCAAAGTGGTGACACGTCTGAATAATTTGTACTTGGGTATTGATCTTGGAATTTGCAGCTGTCTAAAAATGGCTCCGAGCGAGCTTCCCAGCTTCTGTAAATCTATCATTCTTCTCAGAACCGAATTCTTTGTACTTTCCCTACGTTCTCAGTATCCGTCAGTCCACTGAGCGGTGTCAAACAAATCCTTTTTATGCTGCAAAGAGAAACTACCAGCTGTCATCAATTATGATCATTAATTAGAAGTTAATAGAAAACATCTCTGCAGATCCTTAAACATCCTGGTTTGAGCTGCAGCCTTAGGTCAGCTTCTACAGAGCACTGTTTACAAAAGCTGTCATCACAGCAATGGCTTCTTCCCCCAGGCTGGATGGACACTGAAATAACCCACTGTTCAGGCCATGTGCACATTGTACTACACAATTTGCACTTTTAAAATTAATATCTAAGGTTCATCAAGGTTGGACTCACCAGTATACAGACGTTTGTTATAGTTTGTATAGTTTTTTAAGGCTTTCTGTTACTTGTATCCTCATATTTATGTTCTCCTTGTGAATATGTTGCTTATTTAAAATGGTTTCTTTTTGTATACAGAGAGCAAAGGGAACCAGAGTCAGATTCCTCATCTGTATGCACAAACTCGGCCAAATAAAGATGACTCTGAATCTGAACAGGCTTTGATCCTGACAACTTAAGACATTACAGAACCTTTGGCATCACTCATTAAAAGGCCAAAATCACCATGGTGTTCATGGCCTTGATGAGTGGATGGAAACTTCTGAGCAGAACTGTAACCATAGCAGTGTTTTCTTCTGACTGAACACTCAAATTACTTTTTACTTGCTTTACAAGCTACATTCACACATTTACACACCACTTCTTACTGTGTGCCTTTGTGTGCCTGTGGAGCAGGGCATCAAATTAGCTCCACTTTTAAGGTGCAGCAGTCTAAGCACAGAAGCCCACGCTGTCTCTAAGGGCTGATTTGGATTTCTGTGGGGAGCCGGTGACGTAACCTACATAAGTGGCTGACATTTTTGCTGGCATTTACACTTGTGCTGGTGCATTATGGGTTAGTTGTGGTTTGTCCCGGTGTTTCATATGTAGTGCCAGCCAACAGAAATAAATCAGAAAAACATGTTTTTCCCTCTAGTTTTCCCCCGTTCTTTGTACTTTCAGCATTCTCCTTCCAGGAATCTGCTGGTATTTGTGAGTCATTATATTGATGCTGTAATTATTATTCCTTGTATCAAGACAGCGATTGTTATTCTCTCACTAATCAACAGTGCTGAACAGAACAATCACATTAGTTGGCAACTTTGACCTGACATGTAGTTACATTCCCCAGGAGGTGCATGACAGGATTGCACACTTACACAGAGAGCAGAGACATCCTTCAGACGAGTCCTGTTTCTTCTTCTACTTTTATCTGCAGTGTCATTATTTCACTTCTGTCACTGCCCACAGCTCGTTGCCATAGAAGCATATCATAGGGGTGCACCAAACATAATGAGAAAGACAGGGAAGGTTATGAAAAAACCATTAGCAAACACACAAATAAAAGTTGTTGTTGTTGTTTTTTTGTTTGTTTTTGCAGTTTTCAGTTTACAAGTCAGGTCCATGCCAAATAGCGCTAATGGCTATGTAACCATGACAAAGTCATACAAAGAAAAAATTGTTTCTCTTGAATTGGACTGAGTTATAATTTATATGCAGTTTATTTTTCCTAATGTGTGATGTCTGTGTGTTCTTGATGGTTTTGCTTGTTTGTTTAAACTTCTGTTTTAATATGTCAGTGACCTCATTTCTTATGTTTGTTTGTTTTTATGCCTGTGAAGCTCTTTGAGCCTCTTTATGTGATTATGTATGAGGCAAATAAAAATTAATTGGACTGAATTGGATTTAGTGACCATTTGAATCTGTTTTTTAAACGCACATATAATGCAGTGCCAAGTGGTGGCCACACTGGAACAAAAACCCTAAACTAAACTGAGCAGTTAGCTCAGGTGATGAATATGTTAACATTCTTTATGTATTTATATCAGTATGTTAAATATATTTCCTGGGAGTAGATTGCAGTCAGCTGTGTTCTGTCATCTTACCCTTAAGTTAAGTGTATAATCCTAGCTATCCGCCTATTAAGTCTGAGGTCATTAGTCATTTCCGGGTCCAAACTCCTCTTCAGGTCCCAAACAAACACTGAGAGATAAAAACTGTCTAAATTCTTTCATCTTTAATAAAATGATCCGTGTGGCTGCTCTGCAATAAAGTTTCAAATCCAGGCATCCATGAGAAACAGGATTTATGAAGTTTAACAAAGTTTGAAGTTCTGAAAAATTTCTGAAAAATTAAAAACATACAGCTCTGCT